CGATAAACGTCACCTAATACATTTGTCCTTTTTTGTACCATATCATATGTTTAACATATGCACGGAGTAGGGCGTGCGCGTCCTTCCTGTTACGCTCGCACGCGGAGAGAATAGTGCGGCAGTAGCGGAAATTACACAAGGACCGTCGTCGCGAACGGACAAACACTTCGATAAATAATTTACTTGATTGCGTATATATTATTGCGCGAGAACAGCACTCGTAACATCAATTAATTAGTAGCCGTGATAATATTACGCTCTACCTATCGACGATGCTACGCTTTCACTTAACTCTAGAACACCACATCTAGAATTTCTTGAAAAAAAAAAATACTCACTTGTCGTATTATTTAGGGAAAACGTAATTCTGTGAAGGATACGCAATAACGTCTCTCTTACGAATTTGATTGATCCTTTCATCGATCAAGATTTTTGGAATATTTAACGCTAAAGATCTCTTAACGCTTTTACACAAAAATTTTGTAAAATTTTGTATATTTTATATAATGTATCCTCTTCCAAGATTTCGTAAATTATTATAATCTCAAATAAAAAAAGAATTCTGAGGGGAAACGACGATTGATCTTTTAGATTCCGATGTGGTATTCATGATCAGCTTTATCAAGTGCGATATTTGGAATTTAACGCAATTACAACATCTCAACAATGTGCTTGTAAATTCCTCGAATCGTGCTTTAAAAAGAACTTACTCCAAAATGTCAAAAATCTGTAGTCACTGTACGTAGCGTTTTTACATAGACGTGCATTCAAGTATAAAAAAGACGCTGGTTCAGCCACTAGTATAAGTTAATATAAGTTAAGAAAACGCTCCCATACAATCATTTCAATGCTCCTTAATGAATGTTTATCTTGTACTATGCGAAATAAAAATTTTGGAGTAAGATCTTCTCTAAGATCTGCCGATTCACAGTTGGCGCTCAATTGTCGCTATGGCTGGAATATCGATATTTATTGCATTTAAATAATATTTAACAATACCGATACTCAAAGATCTACTACACATCCTCCCCGTTGCATCGCCACAATATTTCTCTGCGTGTGATCGTCCGTACACGCGTGTACGTCGCACACATCCTACTGTATATCTAACGTACGTAAAGTTCGTTCCGCCTACATGCTGAACGTGCGCGTGGAAAATGTCACGCGAGCACGCGCGCGTCGATGCTCTATTTATATATAATCTAATAATATATAATATATACTACTCTCTCTCTCTCTCTCTCTCTCTCTCTCTCTCTCTCTCTCTCTCTCTCTCTCTCTGCGCGCGCGCGAAATTTTCGTCACAGCGCGCGTGCACGCGTGTATACACGCATTTTCATACGCAAATGGCCGCATACACATACATGCTACAGTCGCGTTTGATTGAACCCACAAAACGTACGCACAGCTTCTTCTTTATCCTCTTCATCATCTTCTTCCTTTTTTCCTTCTTCTTGCACGATTGCGAAAAAACGAAACGTAAGTAACGTGCACTCGCGTAATTGTACTACGATAATATTGTAATTGTGTTGGGTGATAAAAGTTACAATAGCAGAGCAGCGGTGACGAATAGTGTAATAGCACTGTTGGTTTTCATTATTGATATATCAACAATTCTCCTTCCTCTACCTCTTTTTTATTCTCTTTCGTTTATCTTCACCAACAACCGCGCGCGATCGATAGTAATAATTAATCGTAATCGTTATGATGTCGTATATACAGTGTACGCGGTGTAACGCGTGCATTTGTCACTCAACAAAATTTACAATGAGCTCCTCCCCCTCGATCTCTTTGTGTAGAATTACATAACTCATATTTATACACGTACGTGTGTTTGTCGCGTGTGTACGTCTATAGGCATATGTTCCTCTCTCGCAAACGCTAATTACATCGATCCGATAATGATCTTCATCGTCATAATAAAATTAGTTACTTACATGTACACACTCGCACACACGCGAAACGCTTCCAATCGCTTGCGCATGGCGTCACGTGGGACATGTCAACTCGAAATTAGTTTTTCACTAATTAATGTGCTCCCTAAAGTGCTATTTTGCACGACACAGTCAGTCCCATCAACTAAACGCTTAAATCCATTTATACAAACTAGCTGTAGCAGGCGAGACGCGTTCCTTTACACATCGATCAAACAAGAATTCTCTGTTTCGGATAATCAATATATTAATTAATCTATCTAACAATGCGTTAATTATCTCTTATTATGAATACATTAATTGCGCGAAGTCTCGCTCACAGCGAGACTCCAGCGTGCAGGGAACTCATAACTTTTAATTATGAGCTTCATTCTTAGCTTAATTCTAAAGCTCATTAACTTAATTATAGAGTTCGTTATAAATTTATATACATATATATGTGTACGTACACATATATATATATATATATATATATATATATATATGTACACATATATATGTATATGTGTTCATATATATGTGTGTTTTATATATACATACATACATACATACACACACACATATATATATATATATATATAAAAAACACATACATACATATATTTCTCTATAAATTATTTACAGTTGCTGCGCGCAACAGAGATATATTTATTGCGCGTAAATTAGTAATTCACATTCTTTCGCTCATACATACATGTATACACATGCATGTATATGTATACATATGTATTATAGATACATTTATCGCAAGTATGCAAGAAAATATCTCTCTGAATCATGAATATAATTCGAGTTGTGTCTTTGGATGCGGCCAAAAATAGATTTAACTAACACGATAGGTCATTGGTGGGATTCTCTCGATCAAGGATGGTCAAGCATACGTTGATTAGACTAAAAGACATCGTCGTTGTTTCGTACTCGAGTTATTTTCACGCTATAGAGGAGATATATAACGCGAAATATGTTACAGTTAATAAAATAGAGTGCATAGAATAACATTTGTCTACACACTGTTAAGCGTCATGATTGAAACGAGCGTCCAATCAACAATACCTTGACCAATCCTTGTATGCCTGCGTATCATATGATATCCGATTTTACATGGTATTATGTTTCTATGATGCAGATTAATAATTTATACAAGATTACTCGATATGCACGTGCAAGAGCATTTTAACATCTTTTTTTTTCTTCTCTATAATATATACTGCTTGATCGATACTGATTAGGTTAATAAAACGTTCTATCACTCACTATTACATATAGGCAACTAACAATAAGTACCTGATGGCATTTTCGCGCGTATATATCGTTTATCGCATCAATAAAAAACAAAACAAATGACAAAACATACAATGGTACAAGTCTAAGTACGATAAAAATTCCATCAGGTATTGCCACTAATTTGTGCTTTATCGATTAAGTGTATAACAAAGAAGTACCTTTCATTTAAGACTTCAAAAGTAGCAGCCCTATCACAGTGTGGCTCGGAGTGAAGGCGATTTTTTTATAATCCGTTTAAAAAAGATCAGAAATACTTATAAAACAGACTCTATTTGCTTGATCTCTTTCTCGGGTGGCTCTAAGGGTGACGGCGCGGTTTCTACTATCTCCGGTATATCCTCCTCATTCTCTTCCTCAATATCTTCGTCGATTGGAGTCAATGTATCTAATATCACAGGTTGAGTCTATAAAAGCAAGTAAAGCAATTTAGTAATTATCGCGTAACACCGATAAAAATTATCGTTTATCTCACGAACCATTCAAAACAATAGCTAACATTAAATGCAAAAAACTACGCGGTTTAAATTAAGTGACACCAAATAAAACATTAATATAAGTTACATTTTTACCTGCGGTGTGGTACACCGTTTCATAGCAGGGGCCATGAAACTAGTAATAGTGCTTACGAGGAAGAAGAACCCTGCCATGAAGAACGGGATGCTATAACTTTGCGTCGCATCGTAAACAGCGCCTGCTAAGGGTGAACCAACTATAGCGGCAGCCCCTCTGAATAGAATTAAAAGGCCGAAAGCGTTCGTTAGCTTGTCTAATCCCAAGAGATCCACCAAGATGATCGATGTTAATGAGATATATCCAGCTAAAATATGCAAAGATAAAATAAACTTTTAGTTTCTACTTAAAATAATAGATAATTGATAATTGCACGATACTTACATATTGCTAAACCGAAAAATATACTCATGATAATATAAGCGACATAAGTATGACAAAACGGCGTAGCCGCTACTGCAATTGTAGATATAATTAAGCAGATATTGTTCAACAACAAGGAGTCGACTTGCGGAAAGTCGGCGATATATCCACAAGCCACACGACCTATGGTATTCGTTATTCCAATAATGGATAATAAGAATGATGCAGAGTTGCTTTCAATTCCCTTGAAAGAAAGGAACGACGTCATTGAACACATATCGCGTAACAATCCAATGTCAAAGATATGTCAAAAGATTAATAAATAACGTACGTCTAAGACCGCGGCATCCACCAGATATACAAAAGGAACATACAGTCCAGCCATGCCAAACACGTTGCTAATACCAATTAGAAGGAAAACGGGATCTTTCAACAGAGACATATCCATCATAGTCGCTAAAGCTTCCTTAAATGATTCAGGTAATACCAAGCATGGACACAAAGGTTCTAGAAATTTTTAATTTATATTATTTTCTCTGAGTTTTAGTAATATAGATTGTTACATGATATTTTACATTTATTATTAATATATATATATATATATGTTTAATGTACATATTTAACATTTATGGAAAAAAAAAATGATATACATACGTTGTTGCGCTTTTTCAATATCAACATCTTTCAAGTCACCACGTACAGATTTCGGAATAGATATAACACTCTGACGGTAATTGGCGAGGGATTTCTGGCTTTGGTATTCTGGTAAATTGACTACGCTACCACTGTAAAAAATATCCTTTCGTGATAAGGGACGGACCATCATTGGTTTCTCCTTTGGGATACTAGCTTTACTGGTAGTGAAAGTAATACTTTCACTATCCTAAAGCGGACAAATATCACATATTAAAAATAATATGTCTGTGTGACTAACTTATTTCAGAAAAATAGTATGAAAAATTATAGTACTAAGAGTATCACTTACGTCAACTTCAGCATTGTTATTTCGCGATCCCAACATACTGCTCGTCGAAAGTCTGAGATGCAAGCTCTTTCTGATATCTCCATTAGAATTAAGCGTTGTCCTCGAGTTCTTTATTGCACTAAGGCTAGGCTTGTAGCGTTCGCTGGTACTAGTTTTACGGATTCTGTCAAAGAATGGCACGGAGCCGTTTTTAGGCAAACCTTGAACGTGAGTCGTGAAAGCCGGCTGCGACGCATTTCTGGGGATTATCGTCTTATTAAACTCGTTCTCGGGCTTCTCCGCGTCCTTCGTGTCTTTGGTTTCATCGATACTCTTCTTGCTTTTGGACTTGTTGGAAATATTCTTTAAATCCATACTGCCGCTATCACTAGTATGTCCACTGGAAGAGTGCTCTTGTACCTTCACTTCGGATATTGTGGGGAGGGTTGGCACCGTCGGAACTGGTGTTAAAGGAGTTCCTTTAATATTATGGGTATTGAATGAAGTACCACATTGTCATTTCGATTATTTGGAAAGCACCCATGTTTATGGAAACAACACAAGTAACGTAATTTAACTTTTAAAATAATTAAACCAGTATACGTTTTAAAAAAGTCTCTTGAATAATTAAACAAATTTTTATACCAATTAAAAAATATTTTTAAAATTGGATGATAACATAATTAAGAGAAAAAATATGGTCAACTAAATTTCCAACATTTGTGACTTACTCCACATTTAAAACCACCCGGATATTTTCAAATTTAATCGTCAAGGTTCCTTACCAGGCACTAATTGGTCTAAATTGAAGCTGGAATGAACACCGGGATCAATATTAATGGGCATTTTCATCCTTTTCTCCATGGATCCATCCGGCAATTGTACCATAAAATAGGAACCGCCGATACTACCACGTTCCATTTGAAATCTCTTCTCCTCAGCCATTCTTTGCAATAACGGCTTAACGGAAGAAGCTTTTGGATATTCTAGAGGTCTCATCATGGCGCCGAATACCTAAAAATCATCTATTAGAATATTTTTATCAGATACACGAGATGCCATCCCGATTAATCTAAAGCGTTGTGTTTACCCCTGCACAATCAGAGCAGCGAGGAGCAGCGAGAGAGCGATTTCACACTGTCTACTTACTGCGCAATTTAAGATGAGGCCAGCCAGGATTAGGTTTGCTCCCTTCCAGCTGTATGCCTCCAGCAACATGGTCGCAAGAGGCGCGAACGCAAACGTACCAAATCCAGATCCGCATACTGCGATACCGGTTGCCAGGGATCTCTTGGTTTCAAAGTAATAACCTACGCAAACTACCGCGGGCAGATATATCAAACCAAATCCAATTCCTAAAAGAATAATTGTAGAGACATAAAGAACGAAGAAATTCGGCGAAGTGCAAACAGTGCCGGTCAAAGAGTGGGTCGTTACGCACCTCCCATAATACCGTAAGTTACCATAAGCATATTTACACTGCTCGAAAACGTCGAAAGTACAAATGCGGCGGCGCCTAAGAAACTCCCCGCCATACATACTGCTCTACAGCCATATTTATTCGTTAAAGCACTGACGACGGGGCCTACGAGGAAAAATTAAAACAATGTAATATGTATATATGGGAGTAATGTGTATAATACAACACCATTAAAATTTTATTTTAATGGCTACGTTTAAAGCGTAGTATGAATGTTATCGATAATCATCGTCACATCGAGGTCGTAATTTAATTTTTTCATTTAGATAAAGCGTACTTCAAGATTCGACTGAAAGATAAGATTGCTCGTCTCGTACGTCGACGTGAAATGTTTTTGGCAGTTTAAATGAAATTCTTGCTACAGGAAAATTGATTTTTTTTTTTTTTATAGAATAGATTATGATATTATGATATTTTCTGATAACGGTAGTGCGCTTTAAAGTTCAGTTGATAAAATTTTAAATATTCAATATGACGGTCTTACCAGCGCTGAGGTACATTCCAGACAGCAACGAGCCAACCCAGGCGGTCTTGCCCTTTCCTTCTCCAAAATATTTAACAAACTCTCCCAGAAAGACGCCGAACGTGTAGGCGATGCCGTCCACTATCATGTTACACATGAATGATGCAAATACCACCACCCAACCGTAACCGCCGTCCGGCGGTGGTGGTATATCGTGGTATTCGCAGAGCGAACCTCCCTCGTCTTCCGGTGAGGCTTCATCGCCACCCGGTCCATCGGTTCCCGTTAATCTCGATTGTTCCTCCACAGAGTATTCGCTCTCCGTCTGCAAGAAAGACATATAGCGTGAGGATAACCGATGGCTATTCTTAACGGAGTTACGAAACAAAACGATACACTTTACGCGTTTATAAAACACGTTCATCCCCTCGTAAAAATTCCCTTTACGAGATGTTTTATTTATAAGAATATGTTTTATTTATAAGAAAATAATTCATGTGTCAGAGAAGGAAACGTTTGAAAGATAAAATATTTCTAGTTTTAGCGAAGCTGCGTTTTTTTATTCTCGCAAACCTTGCATTTATTCCCGCTAATGCGATAAGAAATTATTATGAAGTACAGCTGTTACTTACACTGTTTCGCGACTCGAATTTTTACGGTGCGATAATTCAGCACGGGTAATTACGTGACAACATATACTTGGGCCGCGTATTTTCTTAATAGTTTCACAGGAAAAAACTAGCAAACGCATATAATTGAGGATTGTTACATCTCGCGTTGGTACAGACGCATTGCATTTACCTTGAACGAGGCTGTCGTTCACCTTGAATACTTTAAGAAAAAGCTTCCTTTCGTGCATACACGTAGAGTACCTAGTCTCTAATTCGTCGGCTTATAAAATGTAGCCCATTGGAACTTACCCATTCTAAACTCACGAATAGACACAATATCTTTTCGATTTACTTTGCAAATAAACGTTTTAAAAACTATCGAGTCGAAGTACGTTATTTACTAAGTCAATATGGCAATAATGCATCGACGAAAAAAAAAAATTTTTATATGCAAAATGTAAAATTTTTTTCATACAATTAATATAATTTCTAAAATTCTAATTTTTAAAATTCTAAAATTCTAATTTTTTAAATATAATTTCCTTTGAAAATTCGTGCTTATATTCGTATAACTTTTTTTCATTTTGCGTTCCGCTGCTCTTTTCTCGCAGAAACGTGTTTCGAATATGTGCGAAAGAAATGTTCAGAACACACCAGAAATAGACGCACACAATAGAAGGGAAAATCGGAGAACGCGCGCACATATGCAAACTCGTGTGCCACGGCTCGGCGATCTCGTTAATTCTTCGTCCTGAAAATTATCGCGGGGCGTAACGCGAGAACAGAAGACATCGTAGTACGCGCGATAGGATGATCTCACAACGCAAACGCCAGCATAGATATTAAATAGCTGCTGTGACTTAATCAGCCTCTAAGGCTACATCTGGCCAAGGTGATGCATTGCTCGCGTAGAATGCCACGCCAAGATCGAATATCGATAAAAGAAACGGTTGTTTGCGATCCAAACTGCGTTCTACAGAGATGTAATTAGGTTCGTCGCTGAATCATTAACACGCGATTCATTATACGAAATGCAATACTATAAATTAAGAAAGATTTCTTTAATTCATTTTTCCAAGCTATTTAAAGAAGAACGTAATTTACAATTCCTCGCGTTTGCAATTTATTAATATTTAAAGAAGAATCTTTGTAAGTAAAGATTTGAGATAAATTGCATTTATAAAAGATATTGATTTGTTAAATCGTTTAATGTTATCCCCCCCCCCCCAATCTAATATCCCCAATCTAACTTAATCATTGAGGTGTTTATAAAACGGTAAGTGCACGCGAGTTCATGTTGAGCTTTAATGAAAAAAAAAACAGCTTATTAATATCATGGTATTAATACCGTGATGATCGGGAAGGGGAAATATCGAAGTGCACCCACGCGATACGACTAATCAACAATGTTTTAGCGTTCTCGCAGATGTTCCTATGATAATTACACGAGATTATTGATCCACGAGAATCAATGAAAGCAAATAATGCTCAAAATATCATTAATTATTTCAACAATCAGAAGAGACAAGCTGAAATTTAATGATTAGTAAGTTATCAGTCGAATAATATACAATATTTACGAAACAATTTTTTTTTTAATTATTTTGAAACAGACAAGCTCTTTTTAGTTGTTGAATTTTTAATTGTTGAAAACGATGCCGCAAATCAAATTTTTTCAGCAAAATGTCAAATTTCTAAAATAATGGAGTTTAATATGATGAAAAACAGATAATTTGTTATTTTTATTTTATTGCCTCTATCTTAACAAAATTCTACTAAAATTCTAATTAAATTTTTCATAACATAAAAAATTTTCAAATATTGCAAAAAAATCAATTTTTGCATATTATAGATTATTTTAAAACCCTGATCTGTTGGAAAAATTTGACATCGTTTTCAGTATACAAAAATCTATAAAAAATACCTTGTCTGATTTAATTTTTTGTTAGTTAAGGTAGTGTAATTCATCATAGTTCTGTCTGACGATAAAATCAAAATAATGGAATAACATACTGTATAATTCGTACAACTTGGTTCGCGTATGAATTTTACACGGTTTCAGTTGTCATCCGTTTATATGTCATAATTTCAATTGCAATCCGATTGTATGGATCTCAATGTATAAAATTCATTGCGTCATCTCGTCATTGGTAAAGGTCACGGAACGTTTTGCCGGTCTCCGCGCGGAGAGTCGTGTAAAATTTGAATTCTCTCGTTCGAGGGGGGGCGAGACCAGATGAAAAATAATTAAAGGGGACAATACGTCTCGAGATTATTTGTCGTACCGTTTTACATCTCGTCGCGAGGCATCGAGTCGCCAGCGCTAATGAATTTGGATCAACGACCTCGCGTGTCGCGGCCACGGAGACGAATTTAAATGCGGCGCGCGCGCTCGCGCGAGTGACTCGGCCGGACGGAAGGCCACAGCTGATCAGCTGATCGCACGCGCGCTGTCATCCCGATCGCGCCACCCGACGACGGGAGACGCGAACCTCGCTTTCTCTCTCTCTCTCTCTCTCTCCCTCCCCGGGAGGTTCGCGTGCTCGCCTCGCAATTTGTTCGACCTTGTTGTGCTCGCCATTGTCGTTAACACGCGCGCACGCGTGCAGCATGTATACGTGCACTTACGCATCATCGCGATGCGAGGTACGCAAAGCGCATTGCGTATATCGCGCGGCTATCAGCGCCTAGCCTCTCGTTGATCAATCGGCCCCGATTGTCAAGGCTAAGTCACGTGTCGCGCCTTCTCGTCGCAAGAAAAGAACTGCGCGAATGCGCGACGGATGATTATAGACGACGGCACGTAAATAGCGATCGTCGTTCTCGCGCGGCCGAGAGACTGCGTAAACTGCGCTGCGAATTACCGCCTCGTCCGGCCGGATTGCGCGGAAATCGATAAACCTTCGGCCAACGTCGAGATACGAGGACACGTGTCGTAATTGGCAACGTGAATTTTCCGCACTCCAACATGTGTTAGGTCTGACGTTTCATGACGAAAATCCATTCATAATTCCTTTCGTCTAATCTTTAGCTGTTCATCTGTATTGGAGCAAAGTGAAAGACTCTACGGGATATCTTTCAGAAAGTGATTTTTGAAAAAAATCTGACGACTCGTCTTAATGTTTTCGTTAACCCGTAGGACGTCCTTTAAATCACACTTCGGGGTCAGGTCAGGTTCAGCCAGCTCCGATCAGTGTATTCGAAAACATGCGGATCACACTTAGGTAGGAAAGCACATTGCAACCGGAACGAGAGAGAGGGCAGACAGGAAGGAAGATGGGAAGATGGGAATTCTTAACCGACGACGCGTGCGCACGCACACGCACGCACGCACGCACGCACACACGCACGCACACACGCACGCACACACACACACACGCGCGCGCGCGCGCACACGCACACACAATCACAACCACGGCCATGCTCTCGCTCTCCATAATGTATCATACAAACCGTACCGAGCTGATCTTGCGGACGCGACGCGAGCCGTACTGCGACTTGTTGAGCGACACTCGCGACATTCTACGACCGCCTTAAACTGTCAGTCACTCTCTTCTCTCTTTCTCTCCTTTTCTCTCCTCCCTCGTCGCCGGTCCTCTCCTCTCCCTTTGCGCTCGCTCGCGGTCGCAACCGCGTTCTATTTTCGAGCCCGCC